CAGCTGTATATCGTATAGAAACAGAACATTTTAGCGGTGTTAAAATCTTGACTTTTCCAAACCGTGGTAATCCTTAAAACAGTTATCATCCCATGTTGACTTTAGTCTCCTCTTGGACGTGACGGTGCATTCCAGCCAAACCAAAACCCCTCTCTCCTTTCCACAACACACACACACTTTGAAACTGGAAGCCACAACACACACATGAGACTATGCACACAAAAGGAGCTTGATGTGACGAGATTGATAAGCCGTGAAAGCATGAATCAGCGTTGAGAAATGTTAATGGAGTTATTACGCCATTATGCTGATCAATGGGGGTTTTACGAACTTTTAATGACTGATGACAGGAGGACAAATACTTCATTAATGTCAGCAGGATGTTTGATGTTTGGACCTACTGAAGTATCAGGCTCAGGATTATGTCTACATTAGGTCTACAACTTATTATTATTATTATTATTATTATTATTATTTTTATTATTATTATTTGTTATTATTAATATTATTTGTTATTATTATTACAACTATTATTATTATTATTATTATTATTATTATTATTATATTATTTATTATTACTATTAGTATTATTATTATTACTTTTGTTATTACTTGTTATTATTATTACTATTTTTATTATTATTTGATATTATAATAATAATTATTATTATTACTATTATTATTATCATTATTATTATTATTAATATTTTATTATTATTATTATATTATTATTATTATTGTTATTATTATTATTATTACCATCATTATTATTATTCTTATTGTTATTACTATTATTATTACTATTATTATTATCATATTTTTACTATTATTATTATTCTTATTTTATTATTTTATTATTATTATTATTAATAATAATATTTTACATAGTATTTACTATTTTTCTTTTTTAAAAACATTAGCTGGAATAAAAGCAGTTTTTAGGTCAATATTATTAGCCCCATTCAGACTTTTTTGGCTACAGAACAAAGTTGTCCCATGACTTTTAAATGTATTTAGTCTATTAAATTAACCCTAGTGAAGCCTTTAAAAAAGCTGAATACTAGTATCTTGAAGAATATCTAGTCTAATATTATCCAACTGTTATTAGAAATTCCTTATCAAATAAATTATGTATTTTCTCTCCAGTAAACAGCACTTGGGAAATAATTTTACCTTCAACTCCACATGACTGATCATAATGTTAACAAAAAAATAAGGTCAGGTCTATTAGGTGTTGCATAACTGTTAAATATTTACCATTATGAAGTACCATTGTACAACTGTACCATTTTCAGATTTACAAATGCTGTAATTTGTGCCATTTTACTACAACTTGACTTTAATCCACACTGAGAAGCGGGTTAGGGTATAGGGGAATTGATGAACTAAATTAGCCGTAGTGTAGTTGCAGCTGGAAGAGCATCTACTGCATAAAACAAGTGCTGGAATAGTTGGAGGTTCATTCCGCTTTGGCGGAAAACTCCACACAGAAACCCCAACTGGCCCAGTCAGGATTCAAACCAGCGACCTTCTTGCTGTGAGACCTTAGTGCTAACATAGTGCTGAGCCACCGTGCCGTCCCTAAATTTGTAACCATAACAGTAAAATCAAATACTATGAACATCAAAGTTTTCCAATGTTCATTAAAACATCTTTCTTTGTGTTCAACAGAAGAAAGGAAGTCAAAGTGGTTTGGAACAAGTAAAGGTGAGGTAATGATGACAGTAAATCATTTGAACTGTCTCTTTAAAATCGCTAATTACAGTAGTTGTTCAGCAGTGACCTCTAGTGGACAGGCAGTTTACTGCAACCTAAACAATTATTAAAATGTTCACTCATTCATTTTCTTTTCGGCTTAGTCCCTATATTAATCTGGGGTCGCCACAGCGGAATGAACCCCCAACTTATCCAGCATATGTTTTATGCAGCGTATGCCCTTTCAGCTGCAACCCATTTCTTAGAAACATCCATACACACTCATTTACACTACGGTCAATTTAGCCTACCCAATTCACCTGTACCGCATAAAGTTACCTAGTATAACATGAGAACTGCAGAGTCCAGCATTTTTATTTAGCTCCTCACTCCATTTAGCTCTTATGAAGGCTCTTAGCCAAAGACGTCTGCAGTTGGCATTAAAGCAGTGTGGTGTACGGTAAAAGTTTTCTATTTTTGGACTTTCGATTTTGGCATCCTACCGCACAACACCACGTGTTTGCCATTGCAACCGGCAACCGGTATGCACGGTTGAACCCATGTGACATGTGTGGCGTAGGTTGGTACTTGCCCTATTATGGGAACAATAGGTTCAACTTCCTACTATGGAACTCAATGGTTACAGGTTTCCAGCTTTCTTCAAAATATATTATTTTCTGTTGAATAAAAAATGAAACTCATGAAGAACGTGTTGTGTACTGTTGCACTACACAGACTGGCCACAGGGTGTCAGCATAAGTCAGACACAATGGAAGACAATTCCACAAGACATTCAACATTCTGTTGAACACAAAAGAAGATATTTTGAAACATGCTGGACACCTGTAACTTCCACAGTATTTGATTTCCCTACTATGGAAGTCAATGATTGCAGATTTGTGGCATTGTTCAAAATATCTTCTTTTATTTTCATTGTTCAACATAAAAAAGAAATTCAAAAAGGTTTGGAACCACTTGAGGCTGAATAAATAGTGAGTAACTTTTCATTTTGGGGGAATTATCTATTTAAGGATGTATAAAGTATGGTTGCACTGCACAGACTGACCTCAAGGTGTCAGCATATGTCACATCTATGGTAGACAATTCCACAAGATATTCAATATCATGTTGAACACTAAAGAAGATATTTTGAAAAATGCTGGAAATAGGTAACCATTGACTTCCATAGCATTTGTTTTTCCTACTGAGGAACCCGATGTTTACAGGTTGTTAGTGTTCTTCAAAATATATTCCTTTGTGTTTAACATAAAAACTAAACTCAGTTCATTGTTAAGCATAAATAAGAAACTCACACAGGTTTGGAACCACTGGAGGGTGAGTAAATAGTGTGAGAATTGATTTTTGGGGTAAAATATCCCTTTAAGTCCGTATTGAGTACTGTTGCACTTCACCGACTGGCCACAGGGTGTCAGCATAAGTCAGAAGCGATAGTAGACAATTCCACAAGACATTCAATATTCTGTTGAACACAAAAGATGTTTAGAAAAATGCTGAAAACAAGTAACCATTGACTTCCATAGCAGTTGTTTTTTTCTGCTCTGGAAGTCAATATTTACAGGTTTTTAGCTTTCTTCAGAATATCTTCTTTTGTGTTTAACATAAAACCGAAACTCAGAAAGGTTTGGAAACACATAATGGTGAGTAAATAGTGAGTAACTTTTCATTTTTAGGTGAACTGAACCCTTTAAAGACGCATTGAGTACTGTTGCACTACACCGACTGGCCACAGGGTGTCAGCATATAACACTAAAGAAGATATTTAGAAAAATGCTGGAAATAAGTAACCATTAACTTCCATAGCATTTGTTTTTTCTATTATGGAGGTCAGTGTTTACAGGTTTCCAGCTTTCTTCAAAACATATTTTGTGTTCATTGTTAAGCGTAAATAAGAAACTCACAAAGGTTTGGAACCACTGGAGGGTGAGTAAATAGTGAGTGACTTTTCATTTTTGGGTGAACTGTCCCATATTGAGTACTGTTGCACTACACCAACTGGCCACAGGGTGTCAGAATAGGACAGAAGACAAATCCACAAGATATTCAATATTCTGTTAAACACAAAAGAAGATATTTTGAAAAATGCTGGAAACATGTGATCATTGACTTCCGTAGCATTTGTTTTTCCTACTAAGGCACCTAATGTTTACAGGTTTTTTTTTTCTTTAATATATATTCTTTGTGTGTGTGTGTGTGTGTGTGTGTGTGTGTGTGTGTGTGTGTGTGTGTGTGTGTGTTCAACGTATTGAGACGTATTGAGTACTGTTGCACTACACCAACTGGCCACAGGGTGTCAGCATAAGTCAGAAGCAATAATCAACATAATTATGTTGAACATTAAAGAAGATATTTTGAAAAATGCTGGAAACCTGTAACCATCGACTTTCATAGTAATAGTTTTTTTCTGCTCTGGAAGTCAATATTTACAGGTTGTTAGTGTTCTTCTATATATATTATTTTGTGTTTAACATAAAACCGAAACTCAGAAAGGTTTGGAAACACTTAATGGTGAGTAAATAGTGAGTAACACTAAAGAAGATATTTTGAAAAATGCTGGTAACCTGTAACCACTGACTTCCAAAGCATTTGTTATTCCTACTATGGAAGTCAATGGTTACAGGTTTCCAGCTTTCTCCAAAATATCTTCTTCAATATTCTATAAAATAAACATCATACAGTTTTGGAAATCGTGAGTAAATGTTCATTTTTGGGTGAAGTGCAAAGTATTCTTGCTATATCAGTGGCGATTTATCTCATACTGGCTCGGTGGGGCTTTCTAAAGTGTAGGGTCATTTGGGACAAATTGGTCACGTGACCCCTTAAACCCTCCACACCAAGCATTTTGTGATTGGCCCCTGTTTTTGCCTTTGTTTGAGCGCTGATACCCGCAGCATTTATGGCTGAGCTCCATAAAGAGCGTCTCTATGGGGATGTGCTGGCCGGACTGATGCTCATAAAGCGGGTCTGCTAGAGTCTGATAGCCAAAGACAAACACGCCACACTGTAAAAAATATAATTGTAGAAAAACAAATTCTGTATTGGGAGTTTCATGTTCATGAGTGTAGTGTGCCAGATATTATGTCAACCCAAACCTTAATTTTTTTTAGTGCTGTATTTTTGCACTAAATACAATTATAAGCCTGTTTACTCACTGACACGTCTTACCCAACATCGCCTGCTCTTTCAATGCATGTTTCCTGCAGCGTTCCATGAATCAACCTAAGGTGTTGAAGAATGCATTGAACATTCAGAAGGAAATGTTCCTAATCAGATCAGGTGACCCCTCGTCTCTCTGTGTGTTTCATTCATCAGAGATCATATGAAGCGGCGGCGGCGCTCGTCTTCTGGGAAGATCTGCGCTTCTTTGTCTCTGTGTTTGACGTGCTCATGCCATTGATAGAGCGCTGGGGTTGCCATGGCCTGCGGTGCATGTGGAGGAGAGGAGGCCAGAGAAAAGGGCTTGTCACTGGATTTAAGTGTAATGTTGAGGGAAGGAAGATAAATGCCTGTGTGGCTTTGTTCGCTCTGGATGCAGGACGGGTCAAGGCTGATTAAAAGGAGCAGCTGGCTGAAGATGATCCAGAGAGAAACGGGGAGGGACTTTACTGGAAGAAGAGGCGGGAATGGTTCGATGTGTTGTTTCAGGTCCCCCTCAGTCCTCCGCAACATCTACAGGGGGAAATATCAAACCAGTGATGCAACTGTTCATGCAAACATCAAAGACTCTCAATGTAAGTGTATTCATTTTTAAGCTGCTATGAAACAGAAGTCAAGCATTGTTGGAAAAGGTGTTGCTAATTAAATGAAAAAAGCTGATGAATGAGCTAAAATGAGACATGCCCTTATAGCCTCACCCAAAATGATTCATAGCTCCACCCTAAATGACTGATAGCCCCGCCCTTAAAGACTGATAGCTCCACCCTAAGGGCTGATAGCCTCCCCCATCAATGACTGACAGCCTTACACCAAAGGACTGATAGTCCTGCCCTATATGCCTGATAGCTCCACCCTGAACAACTGATAACCCTGCCCTAAAAGACTGATAAACCCGCCCTAAAGAACTGATAGCTTCAACCTAAATAACTCATAGTCATGCCCAAAATTACTTATAGCTCCACCCCAAATGACTGATAGCTCCGCCCTAAATGATATATAGCTCCACCCTAAAGGAATGATAGCCCCACCTTAAATGACAGATAGCTCCACCCTAAATTACTGATAGCTCCATCTTAAATGACTAATAACTCCAACCTAAACAGCTGATAGCACCGTCCTAAATGACTAATATCTCCACCCTAAATGACTGATAGTCCCGCCCTAAAGGACTGATAACCCCACCCTAAATGACTGATAGCTACACCCTGAATGACTCCTAGTCCCACCCAAAATGACTAATAGCTCTGACCTAAATGACTGATAGCCCCTCCTTAAATGACTGAAAGCTCCACCCCAAAGGACTGATAGCCTCACCCTAAAGGACGGATAGTCCTGCTTTAAAGCACTAATAGCCCCGCCCTAGTTACTGCTAGCTCCACCTTAAATAACTAATAGCTCCGCCCTAAAGAACTGATAGCACCATCCAAATTGTCGGATAGCACCATCCTAAATTACCAATAGCTCCGCCCTAAATGACTGATAACTCCGCCCTAAATGACTGATAGCTCCACCCTAAATTACTGATAGCTCCACTCTAAATGACTAATAGCTACGCCCCAAATGACTGATAACCCTGCCCAAATCACTGATAGCTCCACCCTAAATTACTGATAGTTTCGTCTTAAATCACTAATAGCGCCGCCCTAAATGACTGATAGTCCCACCCAAAATGACTGATAACCCCACCCCAAATGACTAATAGCGCCACCCTAAATTACTGATAGCTCAGCCCTAAATGACTAATAGCGCCGCCCTAAATTACTGATAGCTCAGCCCTAAATGACTAATAGCGCCACCCTAAATTACTGATAGCTCAGCCCTAAATTACTAATAGCGCCGCCCTTAATGACTGAAAGTCTCGCCCTAAATGACTGACCACCCCGCCCCAAATGACTGATAGCTACACCCGAAATTACTGTTAGCTCCGCCCTAAATTACTAATCGCGCTGCCCTAAATGAATAATAGCTCTGCCCTAAATGACTGATAACCCCGCCTCAAATGACTGATAGCTCCACCCTAAATTACTGATAGCTCAGCCCTAAATTACTAATATCACCGCCCTAAATCACTGATAGTCCCGCCCTAAATTACTGATAGCTCAGCCCTAAATTACTAATATCGCCGCCCTAAATCACTGATAGTCCCGCCCTAAATTACTGATAGCTCAGCCCTAAATTACTAATATCGCCGCCCTAAATCACTGATAGTCCCGCCCTAAATTACTGATAGCTCAGCCCTAAATTACTAATATCGCCGCCCTAAATCACTGATAGTCCCGCCCTAAATTACTGATAGCTCAGCCCTAAATTACTAATATCGCCGCCCTAAATGACTGATAGTCCCGCCCTAAATTACTGATAACCCCGCCCCAAATGACTGATAGTCCCGCCCTAAATTACTGATAACCCCGCCCCAAATGACTGATAGTCCCACCCTAAATTACTGATAACCCCGCCCCAAATGACTGATAGTCCCGCCCTAAATTACTGATAGCTCAGCACTAAATTACTAATATCGCCGCCCTAAATGACTGATAGTCCCGCCCTAAATTACTGATAACCCCGCCCCAAATGACTGATAGTCCCGCCCTAAATTACTGATAACCCCGCCCCAAATGACTGATAGCTCCACCCTAAATTACTTACAGCTCCGCCCAAAATGACTGATAGCTCCACCTTAAATGACTGATAGTCCCACCCTAAATTACAGATAACCCCGCCCCAAATTTCTGATAGCTCCACCCTAAATTACTTATAGCTCCGCCCAAAATGACTGATAGTCGCGCCCTAAATCACTAATAGCGCCGCCCTAAATGACTGATAGTCCCACCCTAAATGACTAATAGCTCCACCCTAAAGGACTGATAGCTCCGCCTCAAAGCTTTCCATGTGACCAAAAAAGTTGTTTCGATGGGGGGGATGGCTATAGTATTGAATTTAATACTCTGAGGGCACATTAATTTTTACATAAACATAATAGTACATGAGTTCATGCTGACTAAGGCTGCTGTAAGTTTTTGACTCTTCTGAAGCATAAAAATACTATGATGTGTTTGCAGATATTTAGGAAACATGCTAATTGAACAATTTTATCTGAAAAACAATGCTGAATTCAGTTATTCTTCTTTATGCCATCCCTGCTGGAATATCTGTCTTTGTTTTGGTCTCTATAACCAGCCCGCTGCCAGTTTAACCAGTATATATCAGCACCCCGGGTTGCCTTAAAGTGGAAAACAGCACATAAAGCCTGAACGCTTTTAAAATCCTCATACAGTCAAAAACACATTTAAATGCTGAACTATAATCCAGACTCAGCACTGCATATCCTGCGACGTGTCTATTGCGCATGAGCACATTGCTTTTGACCGATGCTGAAACGAGATATATCGTGCAGCTCTAATTTACAGCATGGTCTCCAGCACATCTTTGGTCTGAGTCAGTTCAGAAGAGCGCAGATCAGCTGTTTGATGAGCGATTGAGCATCTGCCATGACAAAGCAAGTGTTTAAAAGCGCCTTCATTCACACTGTGGTCGTCTGTTGCTCCGGGCTCCCTTTGGAAAAATGCTTGAACTTCTCCTCCTTCTTCTAAGGCAGGTTTTATGGCCCACATTCACTGCTCTGAGTTCAGTAACTCCGTCCCGTGCAGCTGCCAGCTACTAAACTTTAAAGGGGAGCTATTATGCTGAAATCACCTTTATAAGGGGTTTAAACACAGTTGTGTGTCAGCAGTGTGTGAATATCTCCAGCCTCTATATCTCCAGCCTCTAAATTCCAAGCATCAGATGTAAAAAAGATATATATATATATATATATATATATTAGGCATGGGTGACGGAGTGGAGCAGTAGGTAGTGCTGTCGCTTCACAGCAAGAGGGTTGCTGGTTTGAGCCTCTGCCCAGTTGGCGTTTCTGTGTGGAGTTTGCATGTTCTCCCTGCGTTTGCATGGGTTTCCTCCCCGTGCTCCGGTTTCCCTCACAGTCCAAAGACATGCGGTACAGGTGAATTGGGTAGGCTAAATTGTCCGTAGTGTATGAGTGTGTGTGTGTGAATGAGTGTGTGTGGATGTTTCCCAGAGATGGGTTGCAGCTGGAAGGGCATCCGCTGCGTAAAAATGTGCTGGATAAGTTGGCGGTTCATTCCACTGTGGCGACCTCGATTAATAAGGGGACTAAGCCGACAAGAAAATGAATGAATGAATAATAGGCAGGGGACGATAAGCGTGTTCAAGGTATACCATGGTTTGGAAAAGTCAAGGTTTCAAAACCGTCAAAATGTTCTACAATATCGTTCCCAATGTATGTGTAAGATCTTTTATTTATACTTATTTTAGGACAACAGTATCTGCCAACCCAGGCTCATTCTGAAAACGTAGTCCAGCGGACGTTTCTGGAGACAGGGAAATACGTCCCGGGAGGCACGTATGGCTGCATTTCATTTTTTTAAGCGAACGCTACGGGGCGGTGTGGTGCTGTTCCCTTTCGCGCTTGCCGGCTGACGGCTTCGTGTGGAGGGCTTTCCCGCTGCAGACACGCCCCATTCACAAGGGGCTTCAGCGTCAACGCTTGACTGAAGGCGTGTCTGAAGATGGGGCCGAAGCGATCGTCATAGCAGCGTCCGCCAATGAAATTCAGTCAGTAATAGGCCACTGTCTAGCTGGTGTATTTGCATACAGCGATCTGATTGGCTGACGCTTCCGACGGCGCTTGAAAAGTTGAGCTAGTTCCAACTTCTGCAGCAAGCAACGCCTTTGAAGTGGCGCTGACGGATCCACAATGCAGTTCGGCAACGCCTGACATCACTCATTAAAAATGAATGGGAAGCGTTGACGCTGAAGCCCCATGTGAATGGGGCATCAGTTTGTCCGGTCAGCTCATCGTGTGCGTCGGCGGACTTCAGATGCAGAGAGGAGGAGTTGACAAAGGCATCCGGGTTCGAGTTTGGGGAATAGCGGTTCCAGAAACCAGGTAAGACAAAAACAGAATCCAAAAAATAAAGCGAAAAAGTTCATAACAGGGGGAGAACGTGGTAAAATCCGAAAAAGTGGTAAAAAAAAAAACAGACGAGTGCTTTTCTTTTTCTAGACGGCTTTTCTAAATTGTTGCTCGGGTTTAGGGAAGTGAGCGGGCGGGCGGGTCAATCGGTAAAACTGGTTGGGTTCAGGGAAGGAGGAGGGTGGGTCAGCTGATTGGCCGGTCGCGCAGTCAATCATTCGGTCAGTCAGACAGACAGCGGCCTCTGGTGGGTTGACGCGAGAACAGCGCGGGCGCAAACGGCACTCGCGAGAGACGTTCGAGATACGAAAAAGCGCACAGAGTGGCCTCTCGCGGATTCACGTAAACAAAAACTGCACAAATACGTACCTCCCGGGACGAATGTCGCGGCCTCCAGAAACGTCCGCTGGACTACGTTTTCAGAATGAGCCTGGGTTGGTAACTGCACCAGAATAAATATCCAGCAGAATAAATATCCAAAGATGCCGATTTAATTTGTAAATAAATCTGTGTTTTAAAACTAATGAGGACGGCAGAAGACAGTAATGCAGTAATTCTTTAGCCTGACATGTTTACTGCCAA